TCTCTCTCTCTCTCTCTCTCTCTCTCTCTCTCTCTCTCTCTCTCTCTTATATATATTTCATATTTGTAACAACTTACATTTTCATTTTTATTTTCCAAAGTAAATTTTAAAGGATCCCAAGCCAGTTCTTCGCCATCCTTATTTCTGGCAATATTATTTTGCGTTGATTTCAGTCCAAAAAGCGTACCTATCTATTAAAAGAAATAATCGTAACGTTTTCGAAATTTTACGTATCCGATATATTAAAGAAAAGTGTATACATTACACACCATGTGTATACACATGGTAAACAATTTATAGTATACATACATCTGACCATATACATATACATATATACATATAGGTATATGCCATGTGTATACTTACCATCTGTGCAAGAAATACAACACTATTAACTGCGATTGCTGCGACTTTTTGTGAATCAAATCCAATGAGTCGAAAGAAAGCAGAAACAAAATTTGAAGGACCGAACGATTGTTTTTCATCATTTCCATCTTCTCCTCGTTTTTGTTTTTGCTTATGACCTAAACTCTTGGACACCAAATCTGCAATATCTTTTGCCGTTTCCAGATAATTACTTGCATACTGTAATCCTGCCTTTATCTTATCCAGAACATCTGTAATTAAAAGTTTACTCTTATACAACGATTAATAATTTGGTACCAACAGATATCCCTCAAAAGGACAGTTTAACGAGAGCTTAATTCTTCAGAGAAAAAATAAACTCACCTTCTGTTTTTGTGAGTTGCACTTTGTCAAATATAGTTATACAAAGAACACAAAAGAGAAAACATGAAACGCTAGACATTTCGTCGAATCAAACTGTTGAACAATACTGAGACTACTACCCACTAAAGGATCTTAGTAAAACAGTTTATAACGGATGTTTTGCGTTAATTATGCATTTATTTCTATTCCGTTGCGTCTCCGACATAGTCCCCGTTGAGTTGCCTGTTATGTGATTGTCACTCTTCTTGCTTCGTCAGCCAAGCGTAAGAAAACCGCATCCGTGTTTCACATCACCATTTAGTCGTGTTCCTGTTAGAAGTCAGTAAAAAAGTTGACCAGAGTGACAAAAGTGTTGGAAGTAACATTCCAAATTTATATAGCTTATTATTATCGTCATAGATTGAAGAATCTGTACGGAAAGTGTTTAATATTATAAAAAATACGTAATTTTTGTACTCTTTCAAATTGAAATATTTAAAATAAGTGTATTTTTTCTGCTATTAAAAGTAAGTTAATATAACATACAAATTATTATAATATGTTAAAAAAATTATGATAAAACTAAAGTGCGAATACATATTTATGTCTTAACAACCAGAAATTTTAGAACAGTCAGCTATGTTTTGCGGTTTATTAATATTTTATGCATTTTGCATTTTAAAAATGACATCTGGAGATCCTTCATCTTTATATCTCAATGAGATTCGCAGTTTGAGTGAATTACCAATGGATAAACTGATTCACATAAGATCTTCCCTCGCAAATAATAATGGTAAATTTTAAGATAATATTGAAGATATCCTGTGGTAGTATTGAAGATATACATGTGCAAGATATATATATATATATATATATATATATATATATATATATACATATTATAATTATATATTATAATATGTAATAATAGTTATCTATTTTTATATTATTTATAGATGTTAACGAAAATGAAAATGAAGATATCGATATGTACAGTAGAAGATTACCATTGACACTGCCAATGGCTTTGCCGGTGGCATTGAAGAGAAATAGCAAAAAGCCTATGAGACGACATGAGGAACACTATGATGAAAAAGGCAAGGACACGAAGATTTCAAAGATCTTTCAATTGGCAGTAACTGCGCTCTCTTTTCTCGCATTCGGTGGTTATCTCCTTACACTAATAATTACAGCGATTCGTCGCAATAGTACGCCCAACGGAAACGGAAATGTCCTCATATTCTCGGTAACGATTATAATCAAATTTCTTACGTTTAAACTGAACAATATTAAAAAATATACTTAGCGGTTATTTAATACCCATTTTCATGGTTGCAAAATATCAATTTAATATGGTTTTATTATAAATTTTTATTATGTTATTTCTTCGATTAAATGTACAACTACTATAGAGAAGTAATTATTTGTCATTAAATTATTATTTTATTGCAAGATCTTTTTACACTTTTATAATTTTTTATAATCAATCTATATGTCTAATTAAGCAAACAATTACTTTTTTTAGAATTTGCAAAGCCTACAGAAACTAAACCGCCCCAAACGGAATATTTTAATATTCGATGCGATGGAGAACAACTTTGAAACAGACAAACTCTATGAAGGAATGATTATGCTTTCGAGAAGTTACGCCTTGTATAATTGACCACAAATCGTATAAACTCTGTATTCTATAAATATTTATTATTTATTCATAATTATATAATTAAGTAAATAAAAAAAATATTTAATTAACTTAATATATAGTTACAATATAGTTATACAATAAATCAAAGTAAATATTTTATAAAAGAATTCAACAACAAAATTCCGCAATATAAAAATTATTGTTACAACAAATAAATTAGTAAGATATTATTTTCAATTATTGTTAAATTAATTGTTTTTATTGTAGCGCTAAAACTGTATGAGATATCGTAATAGAAGCCAAATGTGTGAATGAATAGAATAGATGAAATGTATAAGAATAAATTGTATTAGTAGACTTTGGAGAAGAGAATTTTTTCTTATAATTTTATGTGAGCGAAAATTATGATGTCGATCGATTAACTCCATTCAAGAAGTACTTATCACGCAAATCTGCAGACTCTTGAAAATCCTAAAACCTAATAAAATCGAATAGAAGATCGTGCTGTGTATATATCTCGAAGAATATTCTTGGCGTGTGGGTAGAGAGGCAGCTTCAAACATGGCTCTTCAAATAAACATCTAAGTGGCTGTGTACTCCGCAGACCTACACGTAAAGATAACCATATGGCTCTCGCAAAGATATCATCGACCACATATGCGTCTCTACCATTGTTTCACCGATATATGCGAATTCTTGTATATGTAAAGCTCTTCGAGAAATCTAATCCGTTTCTGATTACATGACGTTCATGTCCGAAAGTAGCAATTATGAGACGTAACGTATAACTTCCACCATCTTGTTATAAGCATTTAATTTATCCACATTTGAACACTTACATTAATTAGCCGAATTAAATATGATACTTTTAAAAGAATTGTATCAAACTTAAGCACATTTAAACATGTTTAATAATAGTATTAGTAAGAATGCTCGAATATCTAAAAATAGAATAATGTTCATTTTTTATATTTTTTATATTTTTGAAGACTTTATCTTAAGAACCCAGGTAGCACAGCTAATCTTTATGAATTCAAAAAGATCTGAATCCGATCTTTATGAATTCATAAAGATCAGCTGTGCTATCTGGGAAGTCGATAAAAAATATTTAAAATTATTCATATTTGAAAATAGCAAAAAACAAATATACCAAATTAAAGAAATCAAAAGCTGAATAACACATCCATACACACGCACACACATCAAGAATTTATTTATGCAAAAATTTATTATTTACAAAATTAACAGTTTAAGATATATTAGAGATAATTTATTATTATTAATGTTATTGTTATTGTTATTATAATAATCATTATCCATCATCATTATTATTATTATTATTATCATTATTATTATTATTATTATTATTATTATTATTATTATTATTATTAT